TTATAAAGAATTTTTAGACAAGTTTGGAGGGATACAATTTTCTAAATGAATGGAATTCTATACAGAGTACTTTTTTTTTCCAGATTTTGATCAGAAATGTGTAATATAGATTTATAATTTGTATACATTAAATTGAAAATACTGTTTAATAAACCTAATGTTTATTCCAGAGGGAATCCTAAGGGAAAGATTGGAAAACGGGCTTGGATCTGTATAAATTTTAGGGAAAATAAAAAGCATAAGACTAAGACCATCAGTAGTAAGTCATTTTGTTTTAGTACCTGTTTGTTTGATTTTTAAAGATTCTTTTGTTTGTCTATTAAAAGCAAGTAACAAAAATGGATGCAGATTTTATTTTTTTTTTTGCCCAGCACCGAAAGGTAATTTTAGCAGTAACAACAAAAAACAACAAAGCTGTCTGTAAACATCACTTGCAACTTGCTATAGACTTGAAGCATAGTTTTGCTTTTGTGATATTACTGGTATCTGTCTATTACATTTTCAAGATAGACATTTCTGCTTAAAATTGCAACTGGCCTTCACTATATCAAGCACAATTCTTTTACATTGCTCAATATTAAGAAAGCTAAAACTTGAAATGCAAGTGATGCCTTTATGTTCACATATTTCTAATTCTTCTTAAATAATACTCCCTTCCGGCCCCTAATCACGAAGGCCACTTCAAATGTTCTTGTTGGTTGCCATAACTTTGGGGGACACACTTGTTAGTGGCAGCAGGCTTTCCACACGGGAAGGGCTCAGTGCGGTCTCCGTGGGAGCCAAATGCCTTCAGCCAGCTGTGCCGTGTTCCTATCTTCCTTGCAATTCCTGTTCCTGCTTTTCCTGTTTCCTACATTTCGGTGTTGATAGAGTTATTTATTTTTTTATCCTTTGGCTACACAAAGCTGCCTCCAAGCATTATCCGCATGCATCATTTCTGCTTTGTCTCTCGTGGGGCATAATGGCCCAGCTTTTCGGAAAGTAGCTGCTGTCCAGAGTGTGACCTTTTGCTAAAATGGGGAATGAATGAAGGTGGAGCACAAATGATTTGGAAGCAAAGGAGAACTCGGCATTTGAAAAGAACGCAGAAAGGAGCGAGTAATGAATCAGGGTGGCCTTGTTGAATTGCTGTACAGGGAATGCTTGGTGTGGACACAAAAGGGACACATGGGCACCAGGGCGAATCCCGGCAGAGAATCTCAGGGAGAAGCCTGCTTTGGAGCCTGGCCAGGAGAGAGGGGAGAAGCCGGTGGTCCTCCCCGTCTTAGCAGACACGAGTGCATTTCAGACATGCCGTTTGGAACACAAGGTAGTCTGAAGAGTTGATGCCCCTTCATAATTCATGTTCATTGTTCCTCTAAGTAAAATATGTGTCTCACTTTAGTTATTCTGTTAGGAATTGTACTGTAAAGGCAGGAGGACATTTCTGATAATGCACATCTTAAACTTTTCATTAAACTACCAAATTTAAATTCTACCTTTTTGTGCACTCTGACATTTTTGCCTGGCATTTTCATTAATTTTGCGACATACATAAATGTAGCTGAAATGTTAACTGATCAATACTTTGTCTCTCTCATGTAGCACTAGCGTTCCATTCCCCAAGGACCACACAGCAGAACAGAAATTAAATGTGTAAAATATCAAATGTTAATGTTAAACACAGTGCCACTCACTGTATAACGACGGAAAAGGCTAAAACAATTCTAAATGGACAGATGGTACCACAAATTATCTACAATCACATTTAAAGATTAAAATTTGTCCCGTAAAATATTTCTTTGATGCACACTGAAGTGTGTCCTTTTACTGATAGCTCAGTTGTCCAATTATTTCTGTGCTCATTACAGTGAGAAATGACAGTGCCGGAAAGAGAGAGAGAATGTGCACTCTTTTTTTTATTCTGTGTTGCACCCACTGACATCCACAAGAGCACACATGTCTGGTCAAGAGCCTGATGAAAATCAGGCCCAATTTAGGAGACACTTGCATGTCCACAATAGATGATCCCAAAGACGAGCCATTCCTTCTACCCCACGCGTGCCCATGTATGCTCTTTGGCATACAACATTCATCGTAAAATTTAAAAACCCAATTCATAGTATAAAAACCTGAAACATGTTTGCCTATATTTTCTCTCTCACCTTCCTGATGGATTTCAAGCTCAAATACCGTCTGCCAGCTTTGAATGTTCCCCACAGCCCAGAGGCTGAGGTGCGTTAACCCTTCATGGCTTGGGCTCACCACTTTATCTGACATTGGAATAGAAATATATTACTTTTCCCATGTTGCTTTTATTAGTCAACATTTTGGGGGGAGAGTAAAATGAGTAAATAAAATTAAAATTTTATTTATTTATTACAAAGAAAAAAAAAGACACATGTACAAAATTATAAAGTTACTGTTCTGGGCCTAAAACCAAGCAAGCCAAATAGCAGTACAAAGGCATGTGTTCCACGAAGCAGCTGCATTTATAGAAAAATGGGCCAAGTGGAACCAATATAATAATAGACCCATGATCCATCAACAGGGAATGATGGGAACAATATGTTTGTAACAATAGGGGGCTGCTCATACTCTTCCCCAAACGGAAAGCAGTTCTTTTCACTAAACTGGCCTAAAATGCTCTGCTTATGCAAGGAGATCTTGGAAACATTTTGTTTATAAATACACTGTTTAATATCGGCAAAACGATGGACTATCCTGCAATGGCCTGCCTCTGTTAGAACTCTTTTAGCAGGAAAAGCACAGCAGCCAGATGACCTCAGGGATAGCCTTTAACTTTCCTGGGTCAGTTTCTTCCTCTGGATGCTGGGGAAATTATATTATGTTCTCAGAGAGTTGTATTGATTCGTGAAAAGCACCTGAGAGTTGCCTGGCCTATAGGAACTAAAGCCCAGTGCTGGAGCGGCGCTCTATAGTGTAAGGTAGGATGCTCCCGAAGGTTTCCCTGCTGCGAACCTTGGAGGGAGCAGGAAGCGTCTTCTGTTTCCTTTCATCTGACAGGGTAGGTTTGAATGTCTGACCTGGCAGTTTGCAGCCCCACACGTAACCAAATAGTATGTCACCAGGGCTCTTGGCATCTAGTAACGGTGTCATGATATTCTACAAGGCTCCTCTCTCATAAAGAGTTCCAGTCTTGGAAACTCCCGAGGCAGTTCTTTCCTGTCCTATAGGGTGGTTCTGAGTCAGAATCAACTCAGAAGCAGTGCGTGAGTGATGTTTAGCACAGGGTCAATGATCCCTTCTCCTATCCTTGTTCTACGCCCTCCCCGCCTTTTCCCGGCAAGTTTCTAGCATTCAGCTTGCACTTCAAAGGGCAGAACTGATCACCTGCCAAAAGAGATCCCACCATATTTCTTCCCCAGTGCATTTTGACTCTCATCTTAGAAACACTCAGCTTTATGTACACATGCCTATGTTTGTGGGAGCCCCAGTGCACCAGTTCCCCCCTTTAGGAAACTGCAAAAGGCTGCCATCTTGAATCGATTTCACATGTGTGCTCTCCAGAATTCAGAAGGAAAGCTTCGGAAAACTTGCAAAACATATCACCATGCTAACGAATGCCTGAAGAAATCACATATAATCACATATATTTCCCTTTTTCCAAATGTGCAAACAAGGGGGGTGGGGGTGGGAATGACTTTGCAGAGTGAACGAAGACAGCAGCATCGCCTTTTAGGTCGAATGTGCAGAAAACGGGCTCTGGCTTCAGCCCTCTGGAAGTCTGGATGCCGTAGCTTAAAATAAAGGTACATAGACACTCCCTATCATTTTTTTCCTCATTAAAGTCAAAGTACTCTATGATAATGAAAAATCAGGAGAAAGTTTGCTTAACGTACCAACATATAATTGCTATGTGAAAGGGCTGCAAAAAAGGGCAGATTTTCCTTTCTAAAATTTAATGACGATGACAATCGCTTTCTTTCAAGAGACAGCAACTTGTCTATGGGAAGCAGGCCGACTAACTTACAGCACAAAGGGACATCCACACGCTTTGTTCCATGTGCTCAGGCATTAATGAAAGTCCTATACACCGTCTGCGAGGAGGACGGAGCTCCAAGTGCTAAACAGATGTGCCTGCGCTCATTTGAATGGTAACACTACAATGTTGATTTGTTACTATAATTAAGGCTGTTCTTGTAAGCTCTCACAATAAAGCCAGATTCTGCTAAACTGGAAACTCGAAGGAAGCATAAGGTACTCATATTCTAACAAACACAAAAATAAAATAAAGGAGTTCCGAAGAAGGGCTCCACTGAAACTTCAGACTGAAATCCTGAAGAAGCAAAAGGAACGCAGGAGCAGAAAATCCCAGCTCGAGCTCAGAGAAAAGTATTCTTGTGGATTTTCTCACTTTGCAAGTTGGTCTCATCAGCAGTTTTTAAATAACCGAAGTCAAAGGCTACAGGATGAGCTTTGTTAGAGGGCTATTTGACCCTATCAAATCCTCATTTGTGCCTTAAAAAGACCCCTGGAAATCTCAGAAATCACAAAATGTCGGTTCCATAGGCCTTATGTGCTTCCCTTTGATTCGCAGATTAAAGTACTAGCGAACCAGCACCTTACTGCCAATGGCTTTCATCACTTGAAAACTGCAGAACAGAATCAAATCAGATTGAGATGGTCAAGATTATTATTACGATTATTATTATGGTTATTATTTTTACACTAAGAACTTTTCTGGGCTTTCTTATCATCAAGATGTGGACTTATGCAACATGTAAAATTTTTACTTTTTAGCTGTCACAAAGGAAAAAATATATATTGGCTGAGATGTCTTGCATTCCGGAAATCTGAGGAGGGAGAAATGTATTCTTGGACTCAGACCATGTACAATCCATCAGGTTCCTGCCCACGGCAAATCTGTCCAGTCAAGTCTTAAAATAGGTGCTTTAAAATGGCCACATCAACATAACTGTTACTATAGCCACAGAAACATGCCGCTATGATTACTGAATTTAATGAATAACAATGTAAGTAATATAGTGTGATCATACCACAAAAGCAGCGAGGCTCCTTGGGGGAGAATCCCAATCAAAGCAACTATTAACGTAGTAGGCAGCATTTATGAGCACCATGACACAACGCTTCATTCTGATAAAATTTCTCAGCAACAGCTGTAAAGAAAAATAAAATATGCTGAGATTTTACAAGACTGAAAAGCAGCAGCTTCACTGGAAAAGCCTTCAAGCTTACCCTGATTTCAAACTGATTAAGAAAGGTAATAAAGCTGCAAAGAATAGACGGAGCAATTTGGCTCCCAAGTTACAGGAAAAGAAATATCTTTGGAAAAAGTGGGAAGAATGAATTATAGGAATGATTGCTCAGCTAAATAGCTAAATATTTTGTCTTCAGTAACGTTATCATGTAGGATAGACTATCTTTGTTCCAAAGGAAAATTAATCTCTACAGATGAAAGCACTTGGGGGCTGTTGAGATCTGGTGAACCTTCAGCACGTAGCGTGAAATCAAGCGTTACTGTGGTTTGGTTGTTCATTGACTGCTTTCAATTCAAGTTATTCAAAGTGAAATGGAAAACTCAGAATTTTTTTCACTTAGGGTCCTAGTGTTGCTATAATTAACAAAAATAAAAAGTTTTCAATCTTTGATAAGATCCACCTCCTTTCTTTCTTACTGTCTATTCTCTCTCTCATCTCTCCATTACGATCTTTTTACCTACATATCATCATCTCTCTCCCCCAAATAAAGTTACACTTAGTTTTGTCATAATTTTGGAGTTTCATGGCTATCAAATGCTTTATTAAAAATTGATATATAATCACTTAAGATTGTAAAATAAGCTATGATAAAACTCTGAAAAGAATAGCCCATAGGTAGGTGGTGGTTTGAAAAAAACGTATATGACTAGATTGGTAATTAGAATCATGTATCTACCAGTTCATAATGGATTACTTCCATCTATTCTTCAATGTTGATTGGGTATTTTAAAGAAGCAACTACCTTCAGTTTATTGAGGTCATATAAATAGATACATGTATATAAATATGTGCATGTCTGTGCATGCCAGTTTTAACGAGTGGTTAAAGTGGGCATTTCTTCCAGGTAAAGGAAAGCATCTCCTGTTGGCTGTCCTCCTAGGTGCCTAATCGTTTCCCTTGCAGAGCTACTCTGATCCCTTCTGGCTATTTAAACGGATCTTACATTTGTAAACCATGTACTGTCTTTAAATTACCAAAGACTCCACTGTCCAGGGTGAGTGGATTAAAGCCCCCAAATACATTCAGGGTTCTAACAGCACAGGAAATTATTAACAATGTGGAGACAAATAAGGCCAGCAAACTTTTTGACCACCACAAAGGAACTGTATTTAATTTTAGCTCTGTTCATCGGCAACTGAAAAACAAACCAGAAAAAGGAGGTGCTGAATACTTTTTCTTAGCTAGATTATCAAATTTGATTAAACTGTATAAGAGATTCTCCTTTGTGATAGAAAAATCAGTTCTGTAACTTTCTGGGAGTTGGTGAGCTAAAGAAGTCAATCAAAGTTCACTCATAAAACAACCATCATTAAAATCTAATTAACAGGATGATTTTCTTGGAAAGCCGGAGCCCCCTCTCCCGCATCAGGATTAGAGGAAAGAGCTCCTCAGGATTAGAGGAAAGAGCTCCTCAGGATTAGAGGAAAGAGCTCATGGCTAGGTTCGCTTTACACACACCTGCAGGATACCTGTGGGTGGTCTGGGCATACATTTGAACCTGGGCTTTGGGGGATCTCATTTACACATTCCATGGCAATCAGGTGTATTTTCTGTCAAAATGACCATTTTTTTGCTAACGCCTGAATACATAGCCATTATCTGCAGTGCCTACAGTAGCCCCTGTCCTTTCTGACCACCCCCATCCAATTGATTAGTTTGGTATTGTCCTTGTTTGAGCTTTTGAAGAAAAGGAGACAGAGAGGGGGAAAAAAAGAGAGAAAGAGCAATTTTCACATTAGTAGATAATAAAAAATTCCCACAGTCTTACCCTTCCGCACCTCCATACCTCCAAAGTTTATTAGAACTTCCTTAGAAGTGTTATAGATCTATAATCAGGTCTTCCCAGAGGGATTAGTCTTGCCTTGCTTTTTTACCTGCTTAGAGAGTCTGTTTTCCTCTTCAATGTACTTCTGTTCTTTGGGGATTAATGTTCGTAAGCTGGCTTTCACCTACATATCAACATATGTGTCTGTTACATGGATTCATCTATGACAAATGTTTACAGTTGCCCCCCCCCCCGCCCCCGCCCTCCTTTCAATTTGCAATAATTTATAAAGTTTCAAAGTCCTAGCTCAGACACTATAAATGCACACCGTCCCGCCGCGGGAGCAGGGAGGAGAAGGGTGGGTGTGCGGGGCGGGGGGCAGGCGCGTTTTCTCCGGGAGACATCAAGGTTTCGAGAAAATGAGGAATGACAGAAATTCTCTACAAATCAGGAACAAAAGCTTTCGTGAAACTGAACTCTTTAGCAGTACAAAAAAGCCAAAGTTAAGACTTACAGCATTAAAAATCACATCTATTTCAAGATAGATGACCCCCTTTGTTGGCCCTGTCAGCGGCTTGTTTTTCAAGACGTAGGCTTTGCGTTCGCCATTCTGAATCTGCGGGGAAAGGACATGACAGCCGTCTGTCTCGCGGTCTCCGCTGAATACCCTCCCAGGTGACCCTTGACCCCCAGCTGCTGAAAGTGACAGAGAGCCCCAAACAACCGTGGCCATTCTGACAAGTACCTGTTCATTACCAGGATCAAGTCTGTCAGGAAAAATTAACTATCATGGGATTCGGCACGGCCGTGAATCGCGTATGTTAAAATTTTTAGTGTTCTTATTACAGACCTCGGTTGAGAAATGACAGACACGGAGCGGAGGGTTTTCTTTTGCCTTGTTTTTTCTCCTTGAGTAAAAGCAAGCCCGAGCAGTGTGTCAGGTGACTGAAACTTACAGACAGCAATGGGATCGCAACTTTGCCCAGAAAGTCAGCGCTTCGATCCCGATCTTCATCGTAAACCGTCACTTCGAGCACCGAATGGATATCTTTAATGTTGCTGCATAATAAATACATGTTGGGGAGGGGAGGAGAGGGCAAAAAGACTCCGTCAGTGGCTAACAAGAATACAAATGCTTTCGTGAAATCTAGAGACTTCCAGCTGATTTTGTGTGTATGTGTTTTTATGCATGCTGTTTGCATACACACACAAGGCCATTTCTGATGGAATCTCCCAGAATGCACAGCGATGGGGCTATCAGCTGGAACTTTGAGCACCATTGTACTTTAAATGAAATATAATTGCCTATTGAAATAATTTTTAATGAAAGACAATTTTCCAGCTGGTTGGGCATAGGATAAGCTTTTACATTAAAAAGAAAAAAAACAATGAGTGGTGTGGGTTATTTTTAGACTTTTTTTTTTTTTACATTTCTTTATCATCATCATCATCATCATCATCATCATCATCATCATCCCTATCTTCCCATTACTCCCACATGATACCAGCAAGGGTCAAAGTATAATTTAAACAGTTCTTCTTTACAACAAGAAGAACTATTTTGTAGTTCTTAGTTTTATAGAACTTACAATAGGAGAACTCCCTTTTGTGTAGTGCTCTCATCAAAACATTGACTAGATTTCTGCCAGATTTTTAGTCAAAATTAACTCACAGAGAAAGCAGAATAGAGAGAATGTAACCCTTCTAGCTACTGTCCTACTCTGGGGTTTAGAAATTAGTGGGGTTCCGGTATGTCCCAGAGACAACATACATTAATGAGCTACTGTGTGCTCTCTTCATATTTGTGTGTTTGGAAATCTAAGTCCAAATTGTTGACATCCTTTTTTCTTTGATCAAATTGTCCACTAATGAAATATGAATTAAGAGAAAACAACAACAAAAATGAAAATATTCATTACTGAAAACCCACACCCACACGCGAGAAGAGGCTTTATCAGGGGCCAATCAATTAATGGCTTTGATAATAGTCAAATCTATTCACTCAATTATGCATTCCAGAGCAAAACACTCTCCACAAACTTCTTAGGAGGGCAATTTTCCTGACCATGCTTTCATCTTTTATAAAAATGCGGGATTCCTTTTCTTTTTTTTAAAAGTTAGATAATTAAAGCTGATGAGTTACTGGCTCTTAAGAAGAGAAATGACAAAAAGACATCAATGAGGAATTTAGCCGTTTTTGCTGTACAAAATAGAGAAAGTTAGAAAACTTCAAAGAAGTATTTCTGTCTGGAGAGTTTTCTTTGGTTCACAGTTCATTTCTAAAGCCCAGATTAAGAAGAGCCAAAGGAAACCAAAAAGACTTAGGGGGGCATCATCACCTCTGATAGCACACGATCCCCAAAGGTTCACAAACTTTTTAAAACGAAAGGAAAGTTAGGTCAAAGAGTGTTTTGATATCCCGGACAGTGCTCCACATTCTTGTTGTGTTCAAATGAAACAAACCCAAACGAAAGCATCTGCCGAATTCGCGAGCAGATTGTTTGCTGAGTTCGGCAATGGAACAAACAGAGCTTTGTCCTCCTGATGTCAATGCAATGGGAGAGAACCTCAACAGAAAGTACAGAAGGAAGAAGCCATTCGGTTAATGGGAGAAACATGCTTAGTCAAATCTTACAAAAAGTACGATTTTTCAAAAGGCTGAGCAAACAAACAAACAAAGGGCATATTCTTTACCCCAGGTTTCATTATTAGGGGAGTGTGAAGTTATGAATTCCATTGTTTTAGCCAAAGGAAGACCAGATGCATCAAGTTGTTAATCAGTTAAGGGTAAACACACACACACACACACACACACACAATCTCAGAAATAAATACCACTTAGCACTAAATTTCAAATAATCTCAAGGTAATGACTACTTACAATGTGAAGACTTTGTTCCATTCAGGACTAAGGTTTTTGTAGACGGTATGGGTAAGCAGCCTATCATTGTTCAATTCCACTACACAAAAAGGATCACTTTTACCTACAAGAGATTTGGAGTGAACATCTTTTAGTGTAAATAGTGCCCACAGTTCAGTGTCATGATCATGACCAAATCCTTTTCTTTAAGAGAGTTTTGGTAAGCAAAAAGTGAAGTAAAATAATAATTATAAAAAAAACACATCAAAATAGTTTTATTTAATTGGATGGTGACAATAATCAGTGTGATTAATAGCAATTTCAAATCTAGACTAGTGAAAGAGCAAACTATATAGCTGGTATTTGAATTTGCATTTTTCTACCCCCCAAACCATAATTACCCCTGCCGGTGATGGCACGAACTATGATGCATAGCCATCATTCATTCTAGTATTTTTATTTCATTCAATCATGACTACTTTAGACTTTTAGCCCCTTTATTCTGATCCATGTTTGCCAACTCTGGCTGACTTATTCCTGACTTGTAACAGGAACCCACGTGCAAACTTATTTGAAGGAAACAGCTATGTTGCACAATGACAACATTTTACTCCAGTGGCTAAGATTGGGTTTCTCTGTCCTGAAGCATCTATGGCATCAGCAGGAGGTAAATTAGACTCCCCAAGGCTGAGAAAAACTCTCTCACCTGAAACTTAACATCAACGATCAATCTCCACACTAAAGAGCAGAATGTTTTCTGTCCGCGGAAAGTACAGAATTGGGAAGGTATCTGTTTACAGCCACTCATCCACTTGGCAATTATATTTGGTGATACCCTTAATATTTTTGTAAGTTGTGTCTTACATTGTAAGAAACATAAAGTCAAGAGCTCTATGGGGGCAGCATTAATGATATTAGTGTGGCACCTAATTTGTTTGATACCTTATACAAATGACAATGAAATCAATATTTAGACAAAGCTGTCCAGAGGTCATATCTTTTAAACTACAGTATTGATTTAGACTACATAAGAGGTTAATGTGCATATTATTAACTTTAATGATAAAGAATAATTGTTTTAAATGCATTGTAAGTTGTAGTCACAGTAGTTTACACTTCTGTGAGAGCTTAAATATCACTGAGGATTTTCAATTAGATTTTAATGGAAAAGAATGCATTAGCTACCAGTGACAGAGAAGCTGTGTATTCCCACACAGCTGTGTATTTACTTTCCATATTTTAATTCTGAACATGAGCTGTACAAAGCTGGACTTGCTTTTAATTCGTTAGTTTTACATTAAAAAATAGATTTAATAACAGTGTATTAGTTCAGTGGTCTCATATACCCCTAGATAATTGCACAATTTAACATTATGGTAGTTTTCATAACTTTTGGTTTGGGGAATAATTTTCAATACAGAATAGAGTAGTAAAAGTCTTAGAAATCTGGCAAAAAAGTTGTTTCTACCTTAGCCTCTACTATTATGTCTTTGAATTTTCATTTTCTTCATTTCTCTTTCCTTACCTGAATTATTTGCACTCTTAACTCATACATTCTATGGAAAATAGTGTTAACCATCTTTTTTTGTTCAGAAAAATGTATTATAAGAGATTTGATTTGATACATCAATGATTGTTCTTTCTCTCATAAAAATCAAGTGGTAGCATAAACAACAGACTAAAATAGTTTTTCAAACCTCATGTATTCTTAGACTCAGATGAAAATCTCGTTTATGCCTAAATTTGTGCTGCATGTGCTATTATAAAGCAAAAACAAACAAAGAATATAAACTGCAGCCTCAAGTAGTTTATAAAAGGATCGGAAACTTGTGTACCAGTAATATCCAGTGAAAAAATTACAGCCATGTCAAAGCAGTAGCTTCCTTGTTTGCTTTTCCACTATTTGTAGAGCTTCTGTGTCAATGATTAGCTTTGGAAACAATGGAAGGAGAAGCTCTCACACTCTCCCAGACATTTGTTGTGGTTTCCCTCATACAAGGATCCTGGAGGTGCCGGCCCCAATCCCAACTCTGTGGACACCTGGCCCTCCCCACAGAAGAATT